AAATAAAATGAGGAAAATCTCAACAGTTCTCTCTGGTCTTAATTTAAACTTTTGGTTTAGCATTCAAGAGTTCCTAGTGCATGGTTCGGACCAGCAGCGTTTCAGATGGGGCATAACACTCCTTATGTCCAAATCACCCTTGTTGGGGCTGAACCTAGAGCTGCCTCAGTCTTCAGTCCTGGTAGGGAGCAGCTGTGTCCTGGCCCCTATGGCAGCTGAGCATCAGGATTGGGCAGAGGACAATCCCACAGCTTCCGTTGTGGGACCCAGGACTGTCCCCTACCTGATGCTGCACGTTGGGCCAGGGATTGGCTGTGTCCCAGGCGTGGACCAGCCCCAAATCTGAGACACATTGCCACATATCCATTTTAAGGCATGATACAAATAGCTCCAAAGATGTTCCACAGTAAATACAAAACATTTTTGTGATTGGTATGCGGTTTTATTGGACCATAACTTAGCTGGAAATGTGTGGCATGTTACATTTTATAGTGTAATTAGCATGTTACATTTATGGCACAATGAACATCTCTTAGGGTTCTTGGTCACTTAGATGCTCTGGAAAATTATAACCCGTGTCTTATTATTGGGCCGTAATAATTTAGTGCTCAAAAAACGCTACCACTCCTGTTGTAGAAGGCAAAATAAGTATAAAAATACGATTCAACTTAGTAAAAACGAAGCGATTAAAAACCCCAAAAAACAAAGACTTGATATTTTCTATCATACTGTGATTTTTAAGCATGAATGAAGTCTGAAATCGAAAATACAGCCTTTAGACTTTGAGGGCCACTGTCAACTTTATATCTTAGTGTAAAGTAAATTTAATGTCAAGCGTTGCACTTGCCCCCTGTTTTCATCCAGGTCCTTACTGCTATTTATTTGCATTGTCCTGGTTTTTAAAATGCTCTCCTCTCTCCTGTTGCTGTATGATACAAATGAAAAGAAAATCTCTACAAAAGACACGAAAATGGTTTAGGGCAGCAGTTACCAAACTATGGTATACATACCACAAGTGGTACAAAGGCTGGGGGGAGAGGGGCACACGTGCACGCATGCGCACACAGAGTCAGGCTGCGTGTGGAGCAGCATGCAGCAGGTAAGTGTGTTGGGGGAGGAAAGGGAGAGTGGGGGGCAGATCTAGGTCCCTGCAGTGAGGGAGGGAGTGGGGCAGGGGCTGAGGTGAATGGGGCCCCGGGGCAGGTGGTGGGACTGCTGGAGCCCAGGTGGCTCGTCCAGGGGCATGGGGGGCTCCTGCTACTGCACACACCCCAGGGGAGGCATGTGGGGTATGTGCCCCCCGGACTTGTGGATAGGGCGGCAGTGGGCTGCCTGCTGTGCGCTGGGCTCTGTGACCTGCTGCCTCAGGAGCTGTGCACGATGCCATGTGCTTTCTATGTGCTGACTGCACTGCATCCCCTGCCCGGCCGGTGGCAGGAAGCACAGCATGGTGTTGCATGCAACACCCAAGGCAGCAGTAACGAGTCACAGAACCCAGCCTCTGTCCCGTGCCCAAATCAGGGAGGCATGTGTCCCCCATGGCTCGTCCAGGGTGCGTGCAGCAGCAGGAGCCCCCATGTGCCCCTGGACAGGCCCAGGCCAGCCTGGAAAGGCCCTGGGGGTGGGAGGGGCCATGGCCTTTTGTGCCAGCCCTGCCAGGGGGATGGAGCAGGCCAGCCCAAGGAGAGAAAACTCCTGGGGAGCAGTGGGCTGCATGATGGACTCTGCGCCACACTGCTGTTGCCTTGGGAGCCACATGCAATGCCATGTTGTGACTTCCGCTGCCAGGCGGGAAGGGGAAGCGGCACAGTCAGCACGCGGAAGGTGTATGGCATTGCACAGAGCCCAGCGGGCAGCCCGTCTCCACCCCACACACAAATCCGGTGAGGGGCAAGTGCCCCCATGCCTCTCCCAGTGTGTGCATAATGATGAGGAGCCATGCCCATCCCAGAGCCCCTGGACAAGCCTCCCATGACTCCTTCCTACAACCTGCCCCACCTCCACTCACCCCAAACCCTGTCCCTGTCTGACTCTTGCCATCACCACGGGGGTCTCAGTCTGCCCCCCACCCCACCCCTTTACTCTCACCCTGCCCTTCCTCCTACACAGACTTACCTGCTGGAAACTAAAGGATTTTATGTTGTTTTAATACAAAGCCTGTTACCTATGTGTATGAAAAAATGCTGGTGTTACTTAAGGCTGTATTGTGTTGAATTGGTGGTATGCAACCTGTCAGAGGTTGAGAACCACTAGTAGAGGTGACCTTACCCAAAGTATATACATAGAAAGTTAACAGAAAGAGATTTTTTTTCCTTTCTAATCTGAGGGAATCATAGGGACACTTGTAGCAATAGTAAATTGATAGTCTCCTTCTAAGGTTAAATTTTCAAAGCAGCAAATAGTCATGAAGTTAAAACCTCCTACCAAGAAGTGTACATTTGATTTCCAAGGCAAGGTGTCTATATGTACCTCTGATGAAAGTTTACCCTATCCTTTTATTCAAAAGATCATTTTTAGTATCCCTAATCTTCTGTGACAACAGAAAAACATCTGAATAGTTATAATAAAGTTAATTTTATATACACAAGTATATCAAGTTCTATCTTCTCTTCAGGACATTCTGCCAATCATATAGTAACCTGCCTGACTAGAGACAGCTACAGTACTCATTCTTTTATACAGCAGCTTATGGCAGTGCTATCATTGCTGGCACGCACACCTTCACCAGAACCAGTAGATAAGGACTTTTACTCTGAATTTGGAAATAAAAGTACAGGTAAGTGGTCCATTCTGCATTTTCTTAAAACACTGTAACATATAAAAGTCCAAAACATGTTTTTATGCATTGATTATTCTACTTTCCTGTTAACCCAGTTAATTCTTATGGGTCTATCAGAGCAGGACAGTTTACTTAAGATATGCATTCCAGTGATTTGGGAATAGATTCAGTAAATTAAGGGCTCAAAAATAACTGATTCTCCCCCACCCCCCAGCTCGATAAATGCAATCTGGGAATTCACCTGTTCTTTCTGCCTCTTTAATCACCACCACTGAAACAGTCTGCAGTCTGACTTGCCTGGAAATTGTCTTGATGCAAAAGACAGAAGACAAATCCAGGAGAGAAATGCATTCAAGTAATTATTCATGTATTGTATACAAAGTAAAAATGGTATATAAATAAATGTGAAGCTTGAATTGTTTCAGCTACAATACACTATCAAAGTTCTTTAATGCATCGGGAAACTGTTGTGTAATATTAAGTGAAAAGTACAACTTGTGTGATTATGCTTGCAGGAAAAATGGAGAATTATGAACTGATTCATTCTAGCAAAGTAAAGTTTGTTTATCCCAATGAAGAGGAGATCGGAGACCTTGCTTTTCTGGTGGGAGAGAAGATGGACAGTTTGGCTAGTCTCCAGTCTCTAGATATTCTACTGTATGTCCTGGCATTTCAAGTGAACCATAATGAAGTAATTGCTGAAGTCAGTAGTTTACGTCATCCTAAAACTCTTATTTTAACTAGCTCAGATTTGTTCCTCTTCAATGAGGATTATATCAGTTACCCACTACCTGAATTTGCTAAGGAACCACCAAAGAGAGACAAATATCAGCTTACAGATGGAAGACGAATCCGGGATTTAGATAGGGTACTTATGGGCTATCAGACATATCCACAGGCCCTCACCTTTGTGTTTGATGATGTTCAGAACCAAGATTTAATGCAGAACCTAACGTTGGATCACTTTGGGGATGCTTTCAGTGCCCCAGAGGGCTACACTAAACATGAAAGCAGTGGAAATCTAGAAATCCAATGGTGCATCTTCATTCCAAGTGCAGAAAGCCGTGAAAAACTAATTTCACTCCTTGCAAGACAGTGGGAGATCTTGTGTGGCAGGGAATTACCTTTGGAACTTACTGGGTAATTCATAAAGCTAAGTGACCTGGATGTGGATTCTGGAGTAAATCACAGTATTGGAGTAGGTAGAGGTATGTGGCATTTTCTCAGTGTAAAGAGCTAAACTGGATTCCATGGTTCTTGTGTGTAGTAAACAACTAGTACAGTAAAAACTTTTATGTTAGCTGGGAATTGAACTTTTTGTAAGATCTATTTTCATGTAATAGTATATGGAAATAATTTTCTTGAGGCATCTTGGGAAACTGTATAGGAAAAAAAGGAGTCAACAATAGATCTGCTGTTGTCTAGGGCTGTTGATATTTTCCCTTTTTTCTGTATATATAATTTTTGCTGTTATACAAATTATATTGTGTAAATAATAGTAAATCCTTGTGTATGTTGAAGTGCAATGTTTATTTGTACAGGATATATTTTATTGGGTATGCTGCTAAAACATTTAATGACCTTTAAAATGCTTCTAATTTGTGGGGGTCAAATTTGTTTGCTGCTAATCGATCTAGTAGCAAAATTGATTTTAAACAATAGGCAAACAAAGTCTTTCCATCTGAAATCATAATTTCCATGGACACATTTTTTACAGCTGCGTAAAATGTGAAAAATCCTTGAAGAAATCAGTTTATCATCATGAAAATGAAGTGTCCAGCATGGTTATACTAGCATTTTGTCAACAAATAATGGTAAAAATGTACATCTGAACACCATGTTGTTTGTTGCCTATTTTCTCAATATAAGTAAAGTGTAATTTGACAGGTTGTTTCTGTATCCTGTTTTTTATATTCTTATTCAAACTAGGGCTGTCAGTTAATGTCAGCTAACATACACGATTAACGCAAAACAAATTAATGCACTAATTTTTGTAACAAGCGTTAATCTCTCTCATCCGTTTTGACGAGGGGTAGACAAAATACTGATGCTGGGCCCTTCTTGCTCCAGCTGCCCAGAGCCCACACCTGAGCTGCGCTGCAGCTCCTCTCTGCCACTGTCACTGCTGCCTCCGGGCTGCCCAGCAGGGCAGCAGTGGCAGTGCAGAGGAGCCATAGGGCAGCCTAGACAGACTCCAGGTGACTGGACAAGAAGGGCCTGGGAGGGGAAAGAGGGAGGGAGGCTGCTTTTCCCCCACACTGAGCAACAGCTTCTGCCTGGCCACCACTGGTGTTGGTCAGTGTGGGCGGGTGAATCTGTAGCAGGCATGGGGTGGGCTGGGGTTGGGGCTGGTCTCATGGGGTTCCAGCTGGTCTGTTCTGGCTGGTGTAAGTCCGGAGCAGGTGCGGGGTGGGCCAGGGTTGGGGTTGAGGCTGTGTACTGGCGGTGGTGGTGGAGGAAGAGCTTCAGGGTGCACCAGCTCTGGGCTGTTGCGTGGGAGAGTGCTGACTAAGTGTGCAATCAAAATTGCAATTAATCGCAACTAATTTAAATCTCGCAAATAATTGTGATTAATTTTTGTAATTATCTGTCTGCCCTAATTCAACCCTGTATTGCAATTGAAAAGTAATATTGGACAGCCATGCAGCACATGGGTACTGAAGGCACGGGCTGACGTCATTGCACAGCCACTGGCAGGAATATTTGAACACTCGTGGCGCACGGGCCAGGTCCCGGAGGACTGGAAAAGGGCCAGTGTGGTCCCCATTTTCAAGAAGGGGAGGAAGGAGGACCCAGGCAACTATAGGCCAGTCAGTCTCACCTCCATCCTAGGCAAAGTCTTTGAAAAAATTATCAAGGCTCACATTTGCGAGAGCCCGGCAGGAAAAATTATGCTGAGGGAAAACCAGCACGAGTTTGTAGCAGGTAGGTCATGCCTGACTAATCTAGTCTCTTTTTATGACCAGGTTATAAAACGCCTGGACGCAATAGTAGGGGTTAACGTCATATACTTAGACTTCAGGAAGTATCCCACACGATACTGGTGAACAAGTTAACAGGCTGTGACTTGGATGACTACACAGTCCGGTGGGTGGCGAATTGACTAGAGGGTCACACCCAGAGAGTCGTAGTGGATGGGTTGGTATCAACCTGGAAGGGTGTGGGCAGTGGAGTCCTGCAGGGCTCGGTCCTAGGATTGCTACTCTTCAATGTCTTCATCAGCAACTTGGACGAGGGAGTGAAGTGTACTCTGCCCAAGTTTGCGGATGACACAAAAATGTGGGGAGAAGTGGACACGCCGGAGGGCAGGGAACAACTACAAACAGACCTGGACAGGTTGGACAAATGGGCAGAAAACAGAATGCAATTCAACAAGGAGAAATGCAAAGTGCTGCACCTAGGGAGGGAAAATGTCCAGCACACCTACTGCCTAGGAAATGACCTCCTTAGTGGCACGGAAGCAAAAAGGGATCTTGGAGACCTAGTGGACTCCAAGATGAACACGAGTTGTCAGTGTGACAAAGCCATCAGAAAAGCTAATGGCACTTTATCGTGCATCAGCAGATGCATGATGAATAGATCCAAGGAGGTGATACTTCCCCTCTATCGGGCGCTGGTCAGACCGCAGTTGGAATACTGCGTGCAATTTTGGGCGCCGCACTTCAAGAGGGATGTGGATAACCTGGAGAGGGTCCAGAGAAGTGCCACTCACATGGTTAAGGGCTTCCAGGCCAAGCCCTATGAGGAGTGACTGGGGCACCTGGACCTCTTCAGCCTCCACAAGAGAAGGTTGAGAGGCGACCTTGTGGCTGCCTATAAGTTCATCACGGGGGCACAGAAGGGAATTGGTGAGGTTTTATTCACCAAGGCGCCCCCGGGGGTTACAAGAAATAATGGCCACAAGCTAGCAGAGAGCAGATTTAGACTGGACATTAGGAAGAACTTCTTCACAGTTAGAGTGGCCAAAGTCTGGAATGGGCTCCCAAGGGAGGTGGTGCTCTCCCCTACCCTGGGGGTCTTCAAGAGGAGGTTAGATGAGTATCTAGTTGGGGTCATCTAGACCCAGCCCTCTTTCCTGCCTATGCAGGGGGTCAGACTCGATGATCTATTGAGGTCCCTTCCGACCCTAGCATCTATGAATCTATATTTTGATTAGAGATCGCTGAAAGAAGCTGCAAAAGACGAAAATCAAACCAAAGGTTTCATTCTTTGAGAGCAACTGCTTTTTGACAGAGGATAGAGAGATCAAGTTGGTTGGGTCTCCTGTGAATCTGCTACAGCCAAAAATCATTCTGAAGTTGAATCTACCATAGTCCTCTTGCTCTTTAAAGCCAGTCACTACTGAGGGAATTGATTTTGTTTTTTGAGCAAATGGACCTTCAAAGCTATAAATTGTCTCTAACATATTTTTATTGAGCCCAGCAGATTATTTCCTTGATGCTAAAGATACAAGAAAGGCACCTAGAGACTCAGGAACATTTGCAGGCAGATCCTGTTCTAGGGCCACATGAATCCAGCCAGTGGTAGGTGCATCTCTGGTTCTGAGGATTACATCCTCAGCCAGTGTAAAGCAGTTTAGCTCCAGTCAGTACAATACAACTCTGCCCATAAATCTAGAAGTATAAATAGTTGTTCTGTTGGTGATTCTAAGCAATTACTTCTGATTTCTTGTTCTATGTATGTACAGCACTATGGAAGTTCTTATACCATGCTCATCGCTATAGTATTTGAATGCCTTTGTAGGGCAAATAAATTACATGATGTTGCAGGAAGTCTCATCCTCTCTTCAGGGGGTAAAATTTTGTGCAGGAGTGGTTTTGCTTTAGAATTGTTAACACATGCATTTTCCCTTATGTATTTGAAGGCAAGATAAAAAAAACATGCTTTGCACTTAAAGTAGAAGACAGTGAAGTTTATGGCCATCCTTGGTTCCTGTTGGACTTTATTCCGCATTTTTGGGTTGACTGCCAAATATTTTCTCTTATACAGCACTGCATACCCCCAAGCACCACGCTCACTGTGGACAGCTCTTAGAAAAGCACTTTATTCCCCTCCACAAACAGACCTCCCCCCTCCCTCCTTCCCCAGCACTAAAGCCCTTCTCCCCTCCACCCTCCCCACCACCAACAAAGCATCTTTCCCATGCAGAGCTGTGTGCGCCTTGCAGGGGTGGGGGGTAGTGGGGTGAGGATGGAGCCTGGAAACAGGTACCCAGCATCCTGCCCTCTGGCTATATCCTGTGGGTGTGTATAGCACTGCAAAATCCGTGGGCAGGGGACTTGCCTGGGAGTGAGGGTGGGTGCTGCTCTGCTGCTGCAGGTAGCCGTCTTGTAGCCAGCAGGCCAGGCCCACGCATGGTCCTGGCCCTGCTGCAGGCAGATCCTGCTCTAGGTCCACATGGATCCAACTAGTGGTAGGGCTGGATGATAGGAGCCCTGGGGTGAGAGCCAGGGCACCTGGTTGGTGGAGGCACCTCAGCCCAGGCCTGTGGGGGGTGCTGCTGGAGGGCAGGCAGCTGGCAGGCAGGGCTGTAGCTGGGGGCAGCATGAAGGTGGCTGCCAGGGCCAGGATGGTGTCCAGCACCCAGTAGTTCTCCTTGGCCTCTACTGCTCTGGCCCCCAGGACAGCCTGATGTTCCAGAGTCTCTAGGTGCCTTTTCTCCAGGACCAGGAGCCTGTCCCTGAACTGGTCTGCCCAGTCCCTCTCCTGCTAATGGACATTGTGCTGATGCACCAGGCCTTTGAGTCCACTAGCCAGTCCAGCAGCCAGGGCCAGTCCCAGGTCCTCTGCTTCCAGAGCTGGGGCATACTCAAAGCCACAGCCCTGACTGCTGGTAACCCTGAAGGCACATTCTAGCTGCCAACTGGTGCCTCTGCCTCGTGCAGTTGCAGGTCCTACAGAGCCAGATTAAAGAGGTTGGTTGTGTGTGGTTTGTGCAAAATTTCTGAGCTAAGAGGCTCAACATGAGGGGGCTGTGTGCTGCCTGGCTTCAGATCAGGGGTTGTGTGAATGGGTACCCACAGACTGTGTTAAGTTGGCCAGGCAGGTCCTGGCACAGGCAGCTGCCAGCCAAGCTCCCAGTCCCTGCTCACTTCACAGGGGCAGGTGGGCTGCTGGGTACTGGCTGCAGGCAGCCTGCCTCCCCTGCCCCCTTCCCAAGCCAGGAGAGGCCTGGCTCCTGACAGCACCAGCTTCAGTGGCTACAGCAGGCCACCCTGTCCTATGCTACTGCCCAGCCCATGGCACCTAGACTCAGGAAGCAAGGGGCTCCTGGCCAACTGGAATGCAGGGCTGTTGGTGATCCCACCTTCCACTCAGGGAGGTGCCATGGGGCCAACCCCCTGCTGGCTCTGTGCCCTGAGCATGCCACTGCTGAGAGTATCTGAGGCCTGCTATAAGGAGCTGTTTGAGCTGACCAAGGGCTTCCCAGCCCACTACACCCTGCTGCTGCTGCTGCTTGCCATGGTGCCCCAGGTGTACCTGTGAATCTGGTGCAGGACCCTGAGCTTTGATGCAGAGGGCAAGCTTGCCCTGCCCTACAACTTCTGCCACCTGTAGTGTAGCCACAGGTAGCCCCATGTCCCTGCCAAGAGCTGTCATTTTCCAAGGGGTGCTTTGAGTCTAAAAAAGGTTGAGAATCACTGCCCTAGGCAAGGCTACTTCCTTGATGCAAAGAGCAAAGAAATTAACTATGCAAAGTATTGATATAACATTAATGAATGAGTGGGCCTTCTAGGTACCACCTTAATACAAACAATGACAGGGTGTGCCAGTAAAACAATTCATCCTGGAGTATTTCACTCATAAGAGTGAATTTCTTTAAAAAGCTTCTCAAGCATTTCTAGTGTTACCAGAGGCTGCTGAAGCTGCAACTTGTTTTCAACTTTAGC